GGGGGGGGGGGGGGGGGGGGGGGGGGGGGGGGGGGGGGGGGGGGGGGGGGGGCGTGGTGAAACAAAGGAGTGACCACAAGCAAGGGGCGTATCTGCTCAATCGACGCAGACAACTGCAGAGCTACAACGCCGAGTCTCTCACATAAAAATACACATGCTCGTGCCATCGACAATGCCATATCCTACACGCAGCATTCAAACGGTGCATGCAACCCTAAAAAAGGTACACATTGCCGTCTGCCCACGAGGTGTTATCTGGGAAATGCCGACCTCGAAATCATTGGGGGAGCAAACGACATCTTTGACGAGCTTTGACTGAATGGTCCACCGAGCTCCTCCGCCACCTTCACCCAAGATCATGCCATTGGCAGCGCCGTCACTTGATTCACGCCGCCAAACCAACCCCGCAACGGGTGGCACTCACTGCTTCCTCAACCCCCGCTCACCTTGATGTTTCTCGTCCACGCCAAGAACTCAAGCTGCTCCTCCGGGACGATGACCACCTCCTTCACGTGCTTCCCGGCGCCCGTCTGAAGCGCGATCGCCCGCCCGCCCCCGCCGCCTTCCTCCTGCTGTAGCTGCACCCGCGTCACGTCCGACAGGTTCAGGCTCCCGTGGGATGTGCGCAAGTGCTGCTCGATCATCTTGTCGCACATAGCCGCGTCGCCGAAGAAGTAGATGACGTTGTCCTGATGGTCGGGCCCGATGTTGCGAAACAGGGCGATGTAGCGCCGCCCTCCGCTCTGTTTCGTTAGTGGTGGTCAGGGGGGGGGAGGCATCACATCACAGGCGAGCGCAGCAATGAACATGGAAGCGGTCCGAGGTAGACAACACAAGAATCCATACACGTTCAACAAGGCGTGCATGCATTCGTCGAAAAGGTGCAAAAACCACCATTGTACTTGTGATCGACTACCTTGTTTGCCGTACACGCCGTGTACGCGGCCACGTGTACAACATGCCGGCACACAGAGAGCCAGCCACACAGAAACACTCCTCACCTGGTGCTGGTCGCTCTGCGTCCGCGCCCAGCCGCGGATAACCGGCGGTTGCATCTTGCTCGACGCCTCCAAATCGATCGTAGCGCGGCGGCTGCGGGTCCGGCCGCTGGCGCTGAACTTCCCCGATCGCC